CTGATGTATATGGGGACTTATATGCATATGTTAATAGATCCAAAGAAACAAAAGCACGGAGTTACATTCCTAAATAGTATTAGCCTAACAAACTAGGCATGGACTCTCACACAGCTGGCATGCATCAGCAGCCAAACTCTACACTTGGTTACATTCATATAACCCCACCCAAATCAGCATAACTAAGTGAGAAACTGGCCCATTGGAATAAACTTGCACTGTCTCGGCCTTGAGCTGTAAGAGCTGGCCAGAATATCTGTACATGAGCAAACACTACCATATCTACATTTTAAGATCAGTTCTATGTTGAATACTCCTAAAACAGCCATTATTCTAGGACTCTGACAGATTATTCACGTAACGCTACAGAAGTACATCTCCATGGCAAAGTGCAAATACAGCAAACTTCTTTTGCCCCTGCTCCAAGCAAATGCAAGGCCATGTGCACCCCCATGAGCAAATGATACAGTCAGTGCAGCACTGAGTCCACGCTAATGGCATGGGGTCTGTACTGATATAACCTGCTTATTAGCCCTGTGCTGAGCAGTCACAGCTTCTGCTCAGCTACATCTATCTGCTCAAGTGCTGGTACATTAGTTATATCTGTGTACAACATGTGATAGACATGAATACCGCATATCCCAGAGACACTTTGTTCTGAGATTCTCAATTTCTAACCCTGTTTTCAGGGATGAAAACCTGGCGCAGGGGGCGGGGAGGAGGAAGAGCCAAATTCCTAGCAGAACTTTGGAGCCAGCTTCCTCACTAAATATCATTCTGGCTTCACTATAATGCCTCCCACCACAAGAGTCTGGCTGCAAAGAATACTGTCTCTCCAAAGCCCAAAAGCTTTACCCAGGATTTTTCCAATTGTATCTGTCATTCTGGATGACTGGTGAAATTGCCTGAACCCTCAAGATACTGCAGTGCTGCTAGAAAAGTCAAGACACTGGCTGAACTCAACAGGGAGGTGAATAGAGTTGGATAAAATTTACAGAGCAACTCTACCACAGACACGCATCAGGATCTGTTGCCCAAAGGGTGGGATATGTGCTATGCTAATTTTACCTATCTTCACTTTCCATTTCAGACAGCTTTCGGTAACAGCAGAACTCAGAGTTGACAAACATCCTGCGTCCCAACAGCTCAGGCTCCTGTTTAGCTGAGCAATCAAGGAGGCTGTGGCGATGCCTAGGCAGGTACTGTATTTCATGTTCCAGGTTGGCAATGTTCTTTCACTTCATAAAAAACGCAGATGTATTTTAAACTCTCTTTCTTCAGTTCTACAAATAACACCTTTTGGAAGAAAGAAAATTACTCTCCTTCATTTGTTGTTACCTCAGTTTTAAGAAAAAAAAGTATGAAAGACACCGAAATCAGCCAAAAAGTCCAAAAGGGCATTTTCAGAATGGCAATGGCAAAGTACACTGAGCGTTGGTTTCACTCACCTTAGTTTTTACTACAGCTATTCAAGTAAATCCTTTCTCAATGGCTTATTGATTGCAAGTTTGATTATTCTCTTGAATTCTAACACCCATAGACTTGATTTTACAATATCAGTGGGAATACATAAAAGCCACACACTCTGCAGGATAAATGAATTAGTACGGTACCGTTATCTATTTACCAGCCACCAGCTGCACTCACACACACTTGCACTGCAGGTCGCCAGCAGCATTTAAAGCAGAAGAAAGCTTCATTTCTCTACTCGTAATCATACTTCACAATCTAAACCACACATATTATTTAAATAATCTTTCAAAGAATGCTATGGAGAAGAGGAAAAAAAAATCGCTGGATAATTACACCTATGTCTGTGTTAAATATGAAAACACAAGTTTTGTAACATTAAGAGACATTTCCTGCCAGCATTGGTGGCACCCTGGAGCTCAAGCTTGTGCAGCCTGCCAGTTGCCATAGGTGGCACTCTCACACCGTCTCCCACTGTCTCTGGGGCTTTGTCCCCAAAGAACAACGGAAAAAACGCTGTTTCAACCATAGCTTATCTATAGCAAACACATTCATCACCCATTTTAAGGAAAGAGCAGCAGCAAAGATAGCTATCAGCACATAGCCTTCCCCGTTCCTAAGCGAGCAATCTATATTTCTGTCATCAAACACAACTGCCCGGCCCACTGGCCTCTCAGCTCAGGTGGTCCATGAGTTATCACACTTTTAAGTTTACTCAAACCCATCATGGGCAGCACTACACATTGCTGAAAGCCCCATAAGGTATGCATTCAATAGCAAAAACATTTTTGTGATCATGAAAAATAAGAGATGGAGCCATCATCAATGTGATAGTGAAAAATAAAACTATAGGCTTTTGCAACTACGGTTAACTGGTAGAAGTTCCTGATTCCATCAGGCACCAGTTTGGCAACTGGTGACTTAGGCGGCCTTCTGCTAGCTGGCCTACTGTTTTTTTTCTGAAGGCTAGCATGAGCATAGGAACCCCAGAAAGCGGTCTGTAACTGTCTGTCCCTTTCCAGGGAACATTATAAAGCCGTCAGCTCATTTGAATGAGCTTACATTTGAAAAAAGGGTGGGTTTTTCACTTTATTGATGCACTCTTCCACACAGGATTTTTTCGAAATCTACATCAAACAAGGAAAAACAAATGCTGAGAGGGCAGATTTAGGGCAATTTATCAAGGTCTGGGAAATAGCTTCCAGATGGATAGAGCTGTTTGGTGCTGGCTGGTGAGAAGGAAGCAAGGTATTGTTATTGAATTAGCATGAATCTCTGGTGGAGAACTGCGTGGTAGATAGAGTACTCCTTTCATATGGTTTGCATTTGGACCTGTCAAATTTCATTTTTATTCAAAAACCTGTGGTAAAGACACGCAGTTCTTTTTTGCTTATTAAATTTCCAGCAATTCTCCCTGTACTGTTATCCAGTCAGTATTTTTAAACTCTGCTCTAAGTGCCATGCCTGGGTCTGTCTGCTCTTTGCCATGCTTGGATGACAGCTCGGTGCTTACAAGCACACGAGTGGTTTTAGGTTTTACATTCAGACACTGAATGTCACCTGAGAAAGTGTGTGAGAGAGGAGAAAAGCTGGATGTTCTATGAGATGTTTAAACTGAGCCACTTCAAGAGTTTATCAAAACCTTTCTAAGAAAATGATGCATACTGAGGTCTAATGTACACTAGAAAGTGATTGCTAGTATAACTGGAGGATTATTCTTGATTATTCTTGTTAATAAATCCTCCCTATGTAAACATGTCTTCTAGCAGTATAAATGCACCTATACTAGTGCATTTGCTAATACAGAAAGAATATAAAAAAATAGAAGAAAAAACTAAGGGCAAAAAAAAGATATGCTCATAACAAACACATTTCTACTTTGAACTACCTGGATATCTTTTCCACGATATGTGCCTTATAGAGTAAGACATACACAAAGATTTATGTATTTTCCTGCTCGTTTTGAAAGCTTTTACTTTTCAAGTTAGCCTAACAGTCACCTAGTCCCATCTGAAGAATTCAACCTAGTTTATGTTAAACATCAAATTAAAATGACTGTTCTATTAACCTGAGGAGATAAACAGCCAGTTTCCCTCATAGCAAAGACAAATCAATTGTTACCAAGTAGTTAGTTTCAGTTGAATGAATTTTTAACAATGTGGTCTTTTAAGATCCTAGAAAAGTTGCTGGTTGATATGCCAATGGGTAGAAGGATTTTTAATGAGAGGAAATTTCCAATGGCTTTTTCAATTATTTAGGAGAATTGTTATTATTCTTGAGTACCAAGCATGGGGGTGAAATAGAAGAAATGAGCTTTACATCTTCTCTTTTTCCAATGTTTCAGGGATCTACCGCAATTACTCTGTTACCATCTGGGATGTATCCTATGCAAACAGAGAAGGGAAATGGTGATATCATCAGACCCAACTAATTCCTAAATCCTACCTGAAATGTAAGACATGGGTACTTGTGCTTACTTCCCACACGTATGTCTGGTTTTGCCCTTCTTTTTTTTCCATATAGTTCTTATTACTCTGTGTTTTATGAGCATCTGCTTCAACTGACCAAGACTCTGTAAGAAATATCCAATGAGGCAAATAAAATCACAGTTTACAGGATGCAACCTACTTCTTTGGCCATAACATCCGATCCCCTCCAGGCTGTGAACAGATCATATGCCTCATTTATTACTTATACTTAATCCTTCAGCTACTGACTACTGAGCTAGGTTTCCAGTTATATCAACTCTGAAACAAAGTCTTGGTAGCCTTAAGCTCTCATGATGTGGTGTTAACAATAGGAGTTACACATCACTACCGAAGAAATTGCATTCCTCAATGACTCGATTTTCCGATTTTCAAATGTGTTATCAAGAAACTGACACTGCATGCTCACAATGCTTGGCCTCTACAGGATCTCACATTTGCAGATCACTCTATGGACATCAGTGCTCAGAACTCAGAGACAGCTGAGCTAGTGGTTGTGTCTAATCAGTTATCATCTTTCTGCTAATCAGTCTGTGTGAGATGGATGTAAGCTAGCAAGTATCAATGTTCTGTCACTGTGGACTAAACTGGCCCTTAATTCTCATCTGAACTGCCTCCCCTTTGGCCTGGCAGCCTATGAAACGGTTATCTTGTTGCTGGCAAAAGAAAAGAAATGAAAGGGAAGACAAACTCATCTTGCCATTTCATATGGATGTCTACATCACAGAATTAGAATGCCCAAGGTTGGAAGCGACCTCTGGAGATTGCCTAGTCCAACCACGCTGCTCAAAGTAGGGTCAACTACAGCAAGTTGCTCAGGATGATCCGTATAGTCACAGCACAGAGAGAAAGAAATGCTTTTCCTATTGCACAGGATAAAACTTGTAGTGGGGCGCAGTTGAAAGGTCACACACAATCTGCTTGAGTAAGGGATTTTTTTTAGCTCAGTTGCCTGTAAAATTGTCTTCTCATGGTACAACAATTAAGAAAACAGAAGAGATGAGGAACACTATTGCTTTTCATGTCGTTCATTTGTAGTCATACCTTGAAGCCAAAAGGGCAAGTGCATTGATAAAACTCCACTGGATCATTGTTGCATGTCCCATTGTTCTTACATGGATTGGAGAGGCAGGGGTTACACTTGGACACAACACTGATATCTACCGGCTCTGGAAAAGCAAAACGCAGTGTATTAGTAGAGAACTGGATTACAAAATTAATACTTCCCGTACTCACACATACATTTTTTCCTAATGCAGTATTCACCCTGCGTTGGCACAAACGCATATGCTGTGGGTGCAACTTTACACAACAGCATGGGATTCCCAGGGATTAGAGAGATTTTAAGTACTTAAATCAAGTGCTAGGCAAGTCTCAATGATGCTTATATTCTCCTGGACATGCAAACATCAGCTCTGAAAAAACATGTTGGGAATCTCCAGAGAGTGGGCTTATATATATATATGGCTTTCAGCAATTTTTCCTTCTCTCAGTGCTGGAAATTCTGCAATAACAACCCCTAGGGAACTATAACATGACATTTCTATGGCTGGTAACAAGAATGAAAGTGCAGATGCAACAGCAGAAATGAAAAACATGCATAAGAAAGATTTAGTTAGAGGCTTATGGGAATATTTAGGTGCAAAGTGTTCTACCATCCTTAATTTTAAGAGAGTTAAAAACTTATTTTCTTCCTGTTCTGCTCAGAAGAATGATTATCAACATTCAGCTATCTTGGCAAAATACAACAAAGACAAATATGCAAAGATGTAAATGTATGCAGGTAAATATGCATGGCCACATTTAAACCGTTTAATAAACCACATTTTTTAACAGAACTCTTCCAGAGAAGTAGTGATGTTTGTGGGTGAGCAGGAAAATTAACACAGACCAAAACAAAACTAAGTACATTTGGGGTACCAAGTCAATCAATATTTTATTATTGAGATTTTACAGAAAGCTAATTTAGACAGTTATATTTACAGTTAAAGAAATGGTGATTTTGAAGTGGCTAAATGTCAAATATTAATGAGTTAATGGCTTTTACACGTAAAAAATAAAACCTAACACTTTAAAAGGGCTTAAATTATATCAGGCAGTAAAGACCCTAAAATAATTTATTTCATTTTTAAGGAAATACATTTTAAAATAACTTAAAATTGGTCCTGTGCTAATCAGAAGTGGGCACAGAGCTTCTGTTACTGCATGATAAATGATAAGAAGGACTAAATTGTGAAACATCCTGAAACTGAAGAAAAGAAGCTTATACTTGATGTTAGAGAGAAGGTGGAGCTGTAGAAGGTTACCAAAACTAGGGATGAAAGAAACCCCTCCACTCAAGGATTTGCTTTGGACCATTCTGTATGAGATATAAACCTTCATTACTAACTTTGAATACTGGCACAGCACCAACAGGGGGTAAGAACATGACAGAAATGGGTACTAAGGAGTCTCAGCTGAAAAGCACCTGCAAAGGCTGTAAAGGCTATATCCTGATCCTACAGTGATGGTGGTGTTACCAGGGCCACTGATTGCAGAGCGCAACATGCAATAGTCTGTTAACAGGGTACAGTTGATTGCAGAGTGCAACATGCAATAACAAGGAAAAAGCACACAAGTAGTAACAAATAAAAAAAATGAAACAAAAGACCGTTGCCGTCCTCTTCTATCTTTGCATTTATGTCTAACTAAATGCCATACATGTTTTTAACTTGGACTTAGGACAGCAAGAGGAAATAACATCTGAATTTCTGGCACTGGCAAGGGGGGGGAATGTGACATATCTGAGCTACTTTTGTCTTGGAGGTAGACTATACGAAGAATATATGAAGGTAGCTCCTCGGAGAGCTCATGAGACAGGCAGCAGTGCTGCTCTTCTAAGATTTAGAGGTCACTAAGCCAGAATTTGTTCTATTATTTATTTATTTCATAATACACACTCGTACATTTTCCATTTATTCCTATGGCATAGATCAAAGCTAATCAATGTAGGAGCTAATAAGAACAGTGTTAGTTCCTAGCAGTTAAGTAGTTCATTAGTTTGCCCTTGTGGATTTGATTCATAAATCCATATAGCAAAATGCCCTCAGCCCAGCACATTCCTTTCCTCTACTGCATAACTAGGAGGGCAATTTAATAAAAAGCAGAGCTGAGTTTGCATGACTTGCACATTACATACTTTTATTTTCTTGGCTCTGCTGAGACATAACCTTCTGCTCAGTCACAGGCTGAAAACATAATTTTAACAAGAATAAGTTAAACTCTACTTTTTTTTAATGTAAAAGTTACTGGAGGTCACCGAGTACAGCTATGCACTACCTTTATACAAGCATCTCAAGGTACCAAGCTCAGCATGGGCTGACTTCTGCAGCAACGACCCAGGCTTTTATGGGGGCGGGGGGTTCAGCCCACCCTGAGCTCTGTGCTAGCAGTACTTGAGCTAGGACTGAATCTGCACAGGCAGAAGTACAGACATATCCTTGGACATTCTGTGTCACCCCACAGAAGTCTCGCTCTTCTGCTGACAGGCACATGTCACAGCTACAGCTCAGTGATGAGAGGGTGATGCAGCTGCAGGACAAACCGAGGCTGCACTGTATCCTGTCACAGGCCACGCACGTGGCTCCAGCCTGAGGGTAAACCTGCACTTGACATTGTAATAAATCCTGTTGCTTTACCATAAAAGAGCATCACCGATGGCCAGACAGAATAGCACAAGGCATTGGATCTTAAACACGCGCATGGGAAATGGGTTCAGTTAGACTACCAAATCATGCATTGCTTTTCAAAATATATGTATTGTGATGAGAAAAGGTGAATTTTGCTAGGGTCTGGAGCTTCTTGGAGTACACTGCCACTCGTCCAGACCATCAACGGTTTCTGCTTGTCCAAAGACCACCTCCGAATCAACACATTTTTCTCCTTTTCTAGTCAGATAAAGCGAGCCATGGAGACAGTTGGGGTAGTAGGAAGCTCACCAGCTTTCTAGTGGACGAAACTAATATTTACATAAAAAACATACAGCTGTTTTTAATAGTCTGGATCGCAGGTTTACTTATCTCTTGCCTAAGAGTTGCTTGCTTAGTTTTCAGAGTAAGTGAGTGTAACTATTGATATATCACAGTTTCAGAACGAAGAAGTCGTCTAGCTTCTCTTTCTGGATTAATTCTGAGACCCTGTTTAATATGTAAATATGATCATTTTCTTAGTTTCACTTCATGTGAACAAGTACATTATTTGGTATTTTTAGTATTTAGGGTATATTTGTACTTCACATTTGAGAGACTATTATGAAGTCTGTAGTTCTGATAATTATAGTCAGAGTTCTGATAGTTTTGAGACTGACATTTCAAAGTAATTAAATTATAAGGTTACAGTTATTAAAAATATATTTGAAAGGACATAAAATTCAGCTCAGGCTTGGGAACTTGTGTTCTAAATCCACCTCAACACCATCATTTGTTTGTTCAGCAGTTTAATCCCTGCCTCTATAAAATCATGCTGCCAAGCAGTACTGTAAATGTGCATGGCACTCTGAGAGACGTGCATAAAAAGAGGCTTTATGCCCTCATTTCCATTTCTAAGAGAGGCTACTGACCAATCTTTTCCACTATAAATATAGCTCCATCTTCACATACTTGCTGATAACTTAAGCGAACCTCCAAAACTTTTTTTAGAATAAGAAAATACAGGTATATCCTAATATACATTCAGTAATAAGCTACTTACTTTATCCACAAAAATGTGTGCTCCTTATCATTTGTCTAACTGCTGTCTAATGCAGCATACTCCTATCATTGACTACCCTAATCGTTAATAGCTGCACCTCAACCCTCTCCTGAATAAATATACAGTGTATTCAGACATGAAGCATTTTCCATAATCTACAATTTCTGATACAGAGCTGATGAGGACAGTTTGCAGATCTTCAAATGAAAATGTACTTTTGGCAAATATTTGCCTTCCAGAATAATTCTCAGTTTCTCAGTTTTCAAGTAAATGTACATAATAACTAGAGTGCTCTGTATTTTTAAAATAACCCTTACTTTACCAAAGTTTTCTGGGGTAGGTAGAAGGCCAAAACCAATTTATTTGCTCAAGTTAAGTTCTAACAACATCCTGTATGCTAACTTGCCATTATATAATCTGGTACGAGCAACAGGAATACTAACTCCTGAGGTTTGCTGGTTTTCCTTCCAGTGGTGCAGTTAACTGCACTTTGTGGAAGAACACTTGAAAATGGAACTTGAATGTAATGTGATGGTTCAGAAAATGAAAGCCAAACCCAACTCCCCCCGAAACTCACTTTAAAACCTAACAGCTTCCAAGAGTATAAAAATAAAGCACTGTATATGAGGAAAAGCAACAGGACAGAACAGAGAGCCTCCCAGCTTGCTCCTACCTTTGCACTGGAAGTGGTGAGTCGGTGTTGTGAGCAGCAGCCTGTCCACCATGGCGTCAGGCCCGCTGCAGCGGGCTATCCCTGGCTCTTTGTACCCTGCCTTCACCCACTCGGAAAGCCAGCGGAGGTTGCAATCACAGTGCAAAGGGTTGGTACCTAGAGCCCTAGTGGTGTAAAACAATTAACAGCAGTTATTTTGGCTTGCAAGCAAGGATAACATCCCTGATCTCATTGAGGCACATTTTATTCTACACTTTTACAGAAATGCTTTACTTAAAAATGCAGGAAAGATCTTCCAAGTATTCAGGAAGTCTTTTAGATTTATCTCCTCCAGTATTCCCACTCTTCTCCTTTCTTCCCATCGTTAGCTAGGGAGGTTGTATAAATACCTAACAACAAATCACTTTTTCAAACAATAAATCACTTTTTCAAACAATTGTGCTTGAGCAATGTTGCCAGACATATTGCTTTCATCAAATTTATCACGTTGGTTTCTTTTATTTAAGTCTTTGGCCTTCATGAGCAGATTCTAACAGTGAATTGTGAAATATAGTTTGGATCTGATGACTCACGTTAATGTCTCCTCACTAGACGAAACATACACACAGAGGATACCCCTGTTTTCACAACTGCAACCTGGTGTTTGCTAAGTTTGTTTCTGGCTTTGAAAACACATTTGCTGGTTAACCCATCACTTGAGTTAGGTCATATGGTTGAAGTAGATGCATTCATGTAGCGTAATCATAATTCACAGAAATTTTTTGTTTTCATGGCGATCTATCCAAAGGAAAACAAACCTTTTTACCTTAAATTTAGGTGCTGCCTTGACTAATTTATACTATTTTTTCTCTTAAAGAAAGTGCCTTTTCAGGCAATCAGTCAATTACAAAGTCCAGACTTCAGAAAAGTCAGTTTAAAAACAATTCATTTTTGAAAGCGCAAAGAAATGCATGTTGGAATTCTGAATTTATTTTGCTGAAAGTAAATGTAAAGCTTTAGCTGTACAACACTTGAATTGCCATGGGAAGAAAATTAACTAAATAAAGATTAGCATAGGGAAGAGATACTAAAGAAACCAATAATTCAAACTGGGTTTTAGACTTTACTGTTTCTGCATATGTTATAAACTATTTTTAAGATGGTATTTTAAACTCAAGCTTCTTTCAAATAAAAACATATCAGAAAGGATATTAAGATAGAAACCTCAGTAAATTTGTTGATACATTTCTATTGGAGTGACTAATGAACCCACTGTGCCCTAGACAGATTCATAATGAGAGTTCATAGGTTCAAACCCTGTCTAGGGCTCATTCATCAAAATTAAATGTGCACTACAGCACAGTATTAAAAAATATCCATCCATTCCCTCTGTAAATCCATTGCTTACAATGGAAAAAAACTACTGGGTTGACTTTTTGACCCTGTAACTGTGATCAACTGGCTCACTTGTCCAAGGTCAAACAAAACGCAGCAGTGAAAGTTGGACCAAGAAATTAACTTTAGCATTGAGCAACTGCCATATATAAAATGGGAGTGGGAGGACAACGGAAAGCTAGTTACCATGTTAATTAATCTTTATAATCTACATTAGAAATAAAGCTGCTCTATAGACACTAGAAATGATTACCAAGAACATTGTTGTACAACTGCAGAAATTATCACATGTAGCTTTCCATTCTTTTGTTTGGGGTTTTGTTTGGGTTTTTTTTCCCTTAATTTCTAGGAACTATAGTGAATTCTTGTATTTTCATTCATGAGTTCTAACATACTCTCTCTATTTTTTTGCCCATTATAGCAAAATATTTCCAGAAGGTAAAAATATCTTGTGCTGTAATGAAATACTAACACCAGCATTTTCAAAATGTTGTGCAGATATTTCTGTTCAGACACTTTTTTTTTTGAGGCAACTATTTCTAGGAACTATAGTGAATTCTTGTATTTTCATTCATGAGTTCTAACATACTCTCTCTATTTTTTTGCCCATTATAGCAAAATATTTCCAGAAGGTAAAAATATCTTGTGCTTTAATGAAACACCACCACCAGCATTTTCAAAATGTTGTGCAGATATTTCTGTTCAGACACTTTTTTTTTTGAGGCAACTTAGAATAAAGTCAATTAAAATAACTCTAGCCATGATAATGTAGAGAAACAGAGGAGGGGACAGCTTTTTTTTATAGGTAACTAACATAAATTTGAGTAAAGTTGAGATGATTCAACAGGATTAGGAATCTGAGCTGTTTATCAAAAATATGTCTGACAGAAATACCTGCTGTACACAGCATCCATTACCAAGGGTTTCTTTTGGAGTCCCTGGAGTGCCGAGAGGTCGGGTTATGTGTGGGCAGGATTTGGGAAACTGAATCAGTTAGAGAGTTGTGTGTATCAGTGAATAGTGAAGACAGCAAATGCAGGAACTGACCTAACTGAGAAGGTCTCAGTTCTACCCCAACAGATTTTTGGTTCTTTTTAAGTATTAATATATGTGGTCCTTCAGTAGTGCTGTAAGATTTTTATCATTGCCCTGGACTAAACAAGTTAGTAGAGTCATGGCTTAAATAGACAATAATGTGATTCAAGTAAATAAAGGAAGAAATAGTAAAGAAAAACAGTGTGTATACCATAGACAAACCTTCCTCTGTCTTTAGTGAGGTACATCAGCTACATAGTTTGTTATACTAGTTACATTACAACAATATGATGTTTACAATGTAAAGGAAATTTGGTGAACATTTTTTTGTAGGCTTTAAACAGCTATGGAAGAAGTGATTGAAGTATCTAGATCTCAGTTTTGTTCTTCCAATTACCAACCGATTTAAAGCTATTACAAAAGACTGACTAAAATCAATAGTTTTGTCTGTGCTACACAAATACTTCTTTGCAATTCCAAAGGTTAATTCGATACCCTCCCTCTCCCGCCCCCCCCAAACTGTACTGACGCAGAAGTTGATCATCCTGCTCAATACCTTGGTAGTCAGCTTTCTCCAGCCATAATACCTACCCTACTCTTAGCCACCCAGCTTGTAAATTTAACATAAAATTTTGGTCTCTCATGCATTATGAGTTTGATGAGTAGCAACCCCTTGTATCATTTTCAAAATTATTCCAAGTGCATGCTTTCTCCTTGAAGATCTATATATCAGGAAGAGCTCAAAATGAATTTATTTTCAATTATGTATGACTTTGTTTGAATAAGCATAGCTTTTTCTGGCACGTGAAGAGCAAAATCATTGTGGTTGCTAAAAGTTTCGGAATCCTCTTTAAGAAACTGGAGAGCACAATTGCACTGTAAAATTCAATTGTTCAACTGTGCAAATTACACCCCAGACAGGTCTTATTTATTTTATGGATCCTATTTATTACCGTTCATTTGAGCTTTGTGTATTTTACATTTCTGGCAGCACATACATCTAAACAGATAGACTGCAGCGACTGTATTGGGCCAAAGGGGTTTTTATCACTCCCTAAGGCGAACGGTTTACCCAGGAAAATTGTATCTGCACTTCATTTAAAGTAAACCCTGAGGAAAATCCAAACAAATGGGGCATGATATGTTTATCTCTTGAGTTCTAAAAATACCCTTAGAAGCCAGATTCCCAGTATGGAAGGTGTCACTGTGCTTCCAAAAGGAGATACAGGGCTTCAGCACAGTCAGACTTTCATTACGAAACAACGTATAAAATGACTTGACAATGCTGGGAACATGATGAAGAAATACATTTTGTGCAAAATGACTATTTTCTCTGACTTAGATACCAGGGTGTAAGCTTGAAACAGAGATGGTTATTTCTTAGTTGAAGTTGAAATTGCCTGAGTTGCTCACATATGATTTCTGTCCCTACCAATCTGAGATATCTTTTTTTTTATTGTCTAGAGAGAAACTGAGACAGAAAGCTGTTACACAGAATAAACAGTCTGAGGGCATACTTGCTATCCAGAAAATATGTAAATATGAACTGAACCTTGTGTTCAGGTAAGTGTTCTGGAGGGCATGCTTAAGGTTGCAAAGAGAGAAACAGAGATATAAAACCTACGTCAGATGCACATATATCTGTTTGTATGTCTCGACATGTATACATCAACATCAACTCGTGTGCATGAGGGCAGCATCAGAGCAGAAAATATCCGTCTCAACTTGTGAAACTAGTCGCTTCACAAAATGACCAAGACATACCCAGCCCTCTGATTGCTTGAGGACAGTAATCAAGAAACATGCTACACAAAATTTCTTTTCCTTTACATCTACTGTCTAATAATGTACAGTATCACACAGTATCTCAGTGAAAAAACACTTTCTATTCACTCTTTTGGCACCAGCTGTCACACTTCAGGCTTATTTTGTAAAAATTGCAGCTATTTGTCTTTACAGTTCTTTCATCAACTGAACTGTATTTAAAATATCCTGAACCTCCACCAATACAATAGTAATTTCCTGAAATATCTGAAACTTCTAATAATTTTTGCAAATTATGGAATGAAGTATTAATGCTGTGAAATGGCCAACTTCCATATGATTAAATATATATGCCTGAAATAGTGATTCATCAACAAGTTCATATACTGACAACATTTCAGTATGCAAAACATATGACACTTATTAAGCACAGAATTCACATTTGCTTAATATTTGCTCTTTGTGGGAGGTTTCCTGTCTCACTCTCAGACCATAACACACTCTGCATTTCACACAGACAATGCTGAAAGAAAGCCTTAAACACAAAGTCCACAGAAGAGGAAACTGTCACATTTCTCATTTGGTTTTCCTTAAGAAAATATTTCGGTAACTAATGACAACAGGTTCTAGTATTTTTTTGTTTCCTTTGAACAGATGCGCTAAGAATATCCACAGAGCAGAATATGGAAAGTGAGCAGGAAAAACAGAAAAGCTAGACAATCTTAAATTTGTAATAATATGTACTGTTTTATAAATCTGAAACCGTTAAACAAACAGATGAACCCAGACAGAAGTACTTACAGATGGGACAGGGATACCAGGTCATTGAAAGAACCTTCGGGAACACTGGAAATGTCGTTTCCATGGAGCGTCCTAGAAGAGGGGAAAAGCAGGAAGGTATCAAACCACAGTATTTTATCTGCTCCCCACAAGTGAAGGAATTGGCGCTTAAGAAAGATATTTAGTTTTGTTTCTTTGAGAGTTTCTATGAGCTTCACAACTCACGAGCTTCCATGCTTTATTACTTCTACTTCTAGATGTTGACATTTAAAATAATGATATAATCGGAATTGTTGGTGACTAATGTTTTAAATTAAAAAGGTGACATACTATTTATGCTATTAAAAGTACATTGATGACAAGCAGACCCTCACGTACAGACCTGTATGCTTTTACAGAATCCCATTAGCTGGAAACACAGAAAAGAGGGAAAATATGAACCGTGAAAGTTAAATTAAATATTGACTTCAGAGAGATCCTAGGAGAGAGCAAGGGTCCATGAGGGCAAATATATCTGCACTTTCACATTCTAGTTTCCCATTCTTACAGTAGGAAATAACTCTTTGTGTGGTATTTTAAAAATCCATTTGACAAATACATTTATGCTACCAGGGAAAATACTTGAAATTAGTTGTTTTAGGGTATTATTGACCCTGCGCAAAGAAACCAACATTTTTCTAGCAGGGTTTTCAGGATTCTTGTGACAGGGTTCTCCACTATTTCCAGGACAATTTAAGCAGCCACTTTATCTCTTTTCTAAGAAATACATTTATGTGTGTGTTACATAGGCAAGCATAAACGGAAAGATTTTTCTTGCAGCTTGTAGAGCACAATACTTATATTCAAAGTGGCAGACACAAGAGTAAAAATCATTATTTGTGATTACTTGTGGTTTTCATTGCAATCGCAACTGAAGGCCCGGCTACAAAGTAGGGCACCACCACTAGAGGTTGTGACAGACAAACAGAGGAAGAGCACTTCTTGCAGCACCAAGGCTATGATCAGAGAGGAAAACACCCAGCAACAAATGAGTGTGCGGGAGGGCACAGGATGCTGGGGGTGATAATTGCATAAAAACTATCCAGAAAATGCACCAGAGAAGATACACAATCATGTAAAATTTTATTTTATAAATAAATAAAATCAGCTATTCAGCTGCTGCATCCTCTGCCTCACTGGATAATTATCTGGCAAAAAACAGCATAGAGAAAAACATTTCTAGTTTATTCTAACTTTTCTAGTTTGCATGTCGCTGAATACCAGCTTACTACCTCACGTAGTAACAGACAGAAAGAACTCGTAAGGAGCTGACAGCAGTCCATTCCACTGGATCTCACTAGCTGTTTCTTAAACAAAAGTTGGCAGAAAACTTGCAAAGGAAAAGGACATCAATATTTTAAAATTATATTTTCTTTTGCACTTCTCCCCTGAGCTGGTTCAGTTATAGCAAACTGCTGTATTGTTTATGTCCTCTTTCCCAGGTCCAGCAATTACTGCCAGTGCTCCAGACGTGGCAGAGGAGGGTGGAAAACAGAAACCTGCTGTGTGTCAGTTTTGTAGCAGCTCTTTCCCTCAAGTCATTTCTTTTCTAATTTACCTGGTGATTTGCGGAACACAGCAATCGCATCTTATTTTTTATTTTTGTGACTGTACAGATGCTTGAAACGGTGCACATTGAGTTTATTTAAAACAAACTAAACATCTGGGCCCATGGAAATACACAATAGCCCCAGATGAAAATAAAAGCATCTCTTTTTCCATCCTTTCTTCTCTTTCTCCACCCTAACACCACTATAAGCTTCACCAGGATCTACATGATGCCTTATAACTCTAATGAAGTCTGCCTTTACATACTGCCTTACACCAGCATACACAGCAAGGAAAGCCAAACTTGCCAGGGGAAGATACACCTTGTCCTGTCTCCTGTGAGCCTGGGCCCTGCCATGGGGCTGTGAACTATGTGAGCATAAGCAATGTTACCACGATCACGTTTCACAGCTGCTCATTGCAGCTGCAGTTTCTATCTATCGTACTGCAAAGTTTTTCTACAGAGCATGAAACCACAAAAACTACAGCAGCGTTATCCTGCTGGCATCTCTCTCCAGTTCTTGATGCCAGTACACCAAAGACTTCCCTTTCCAACATCCTGATTCTGAAATTTTCTTTTAAGCATACCTAAGTTTTGGCTATTAATAATAATACTTGGCATATATAAGGATGGATCTCCAAGCAACTAATCTGAACAGGAACAGGAAGGAGGTGAGCTCCCACACAGTAACTCCAGATAAAGCACACTCACTAATTCTATACAGAATGACCAACTGACTGAGACATACCCCACAGCTATTAAATAAGGAGTATTTTTGTTGGTATGAGGATGCAAGATCAGGCCTGGGCAACAGCTTATCATCAAAATGTTCCCTCCTTCAATGAAATGAGCATATTTAAATAAGCAGACACTCATAATGAGCTTATATTCTGATCTTTTAAACTACTGTATTGGGTTTGCACAGCAAGGTTTTGGTAGCAGGGGGGTTACAGGGGTGGCTTCTGTGAGAAGCTGCTAGAAGCTTCCCCTATGTCTGACAGAGCCAATGCCAGCCGGCTC